CCCTTGAAAGGGGTGTGGTGGGCTTCAGAGGGCCTATGAACCTTAACCCTCCTTCACCTTTCGTGCACTCACCAGACCCAACAACATATCCAAAGGGTATCAAATTCTAGCGTTGACAAGGTCGTACGTTCTCCTCCTTAGCGTGGGCCCAGTAGGTAGATAGTATCAGTAAATTATTAATAAATGACAGCAGAACAAAACAACAACAAAAAAACAAAAAAGCAAAGCAACAAAATCAAAACAAAAGATAACAAAAGCGGAATCTGGCAAAAACGAAACACAAGCAAGCCAAGAACCAGTGATAAATACATATAATATATGTAGTGAATTATGTATGAATGCATGTATGTAGATGTTCAAACTTCTCAAACTTTCAAACGGCTTATCCGATCAGCTTCTAGTTAATTTTATTGGAAAGCCAGTTAAATTTAAGTGCAGAAACGAATTTGATTTTCAAAATTTCGTCCTCCTGCATTAGCGAAGGGCTGAAGAAGGGATTGACAAGCTCTGATGAAATTACGCACAGTTTCCATGGACAAATGTTCCTATTCCTTGGTCAAAAAATTTTTTGGTGCCCTAACATTTTTTGGAGGTCTTAAGCACACCATCGCCCCCAGCTGTGACAATATGGCATAGTCCTGTAGCTTCAAATCCGACGAGGCTAATGAAATCAAGTGAAAATGACATTCAACATATGGTTTTTCGTCACTGCTTCACGATTTTTCCCCTAAACAACGCTGCTGAATTTTGCTGAAAGGTTTAGTCGAATCCACTGAATATGGATTTGTGAAAATGGTTCACCACGAGCTGTAGGGCGTTTTTAAATTAATCCTATGTCGCGACCTTAACCACGTATTCGTCAAAATGCGATGGCGCAGTGCAAAAATTGCTGACTTCAGACAAATATATTGCTAAACCTGAATGGTTGGATATTTTCGATTTTTTCTCGATTTGTAGATATTTGTAATACATTTTGCATAAATAATGCCGTTTAATTGGTCGATAATTTTTAATTCTGGTTTTCCTTTGACCAATGATGAACAAATTTTCCACGTCGGCTCTGGGTGCTTTGAGATCTTAAACAAAAACGAGAGTGCCTATTTCGCTGCCCAAACCTCTATATTTGATTTTTTTAATTTTACGTTTATTAGTTGACCCTGAGTAGGTGAAACAATTTATACGAGGGAGGATTTTTAAATAGTGTTCATTGAATTTTATGTTAAAAATGAGACATATTTCGTCAATTTAAAATTGTGGTTTTTCAACGTAATCTCCTCCCAACTCAATTCATCGCTCAGTTCGGTATCCCAGTTATGTCATTCCCTAACAATAAAATTCTTTACAAAATCCATTTAACAGGTTTTGCACAATCGAGACAACCTCATTATCATCGCTGAATTTTTTTCCCCTGAGATTTTTTATCAAAATTCAAAGTAAATAGAAGTTGCTGGGGTCCATATCTGGAGAATAAGTGGGGTGAACGATTTTCCAGGACGAAAATCTGTCTAATGTTGCTTTAGCAATCTTTGTCAAACCCGATGAAACGTTTACTTGAAAAATAAAATAACCTTTCTGCAAAGTTCCTCGTCTTTTGTTTTTGATCGAGTAATGCAGGTTATCCAAGACTTTCAAATAATGATGATAATTCATTGTGCTTCATTTTGGAACTCTGCCCGCCGAGTGTTCTGATTTTGCCTTGACTAGACAACTTTGACCTCTCGCCAGAAATTGCTTAGACGGTTGTTTTGTCTCTGGATTACATTTATGAACTCCCGTTTCATAACCAGTCACTATTTGGGTATGAAATTTTTTGGGGTCTGCTTTCCAAAATTCCAGCAAGACCCGACATGATTCAACGAGTTTTTGCTTTTGAGCTTGCGTAGGCTGGCGAGAAACCCATCTGGCAGAAAGCTTTTACAAACCCAGTCGTTTGTGTAGGATGGCCCTAACAATTTTTTAAGAAATTCTCATTTCCTCAGCAATCTACTGGAAAGTCATAGGTCGATCTAGTTGCAGAAAGTCACCGACTTTTTTGCACGTGAACTCGTCGGTCCCTGAAATCTACCTCCCTGGTCGAGGTTCAGCTTCTGCACTCTCCCTGCCACACTTAAATTATTTTACCCACCTTGAAACAATTTTGTCTGATAGAGTAGATTATTAATAAACTTTCTGCAACTTTTTATAAATTTCGATTGAAGTTTCTTTTGCAGTACAAAAAAGCGTGTGGTGGAACGGATCTCATTTTTCGGAAATTCCATTTTTGCTTAGGAGATGTGACTTTGGGGTGAAATTGTGAGAGAATGAGAAATCGGAAGCTTACCATTTTTGGCACACAATGTACACTCGGTACGACGATTATAATGAATGACATTGCAGATTATTATCTTATCTCTAAGGTATAGATGGACACTACATATAAATCTTCCCTCGTAGTACACTTGGACAAATTGTAATTAACACTGAATTATTTTAACATTGGGGAAATCTAAGAGTATTGGACTCATTTACTTCGCGCAAAATAATTACCGCTTGCTTCCATTCTCTGTTTTTCATGGTTATCTGCGGGTAAATTGTTAGCAGTTGAAGTAGTTTTTCGCAAAGTCGCACGACGAATCTCATGCAATTACCAGATTTCAGAGCCGAACTCTAGTTTTCGGGAAGTCAGCCATTGACAATTGACCATAAATTACTGCGTAAAACAAATTCAAAGTATTTGCACAACTTGACCTACGGGCAAGTTGTGCAAATTTCTTAGGGGGTACCCTCCGGTAAAACTTGTCAACTACCCCCCTCTGACTAACCCGAGGTTGATATGTATGCATACATATGTATGTATGCACAAGCTTATTTTGTGTTTAGTCCAGATAATAATAAGTACATCGAATCCTGAGAATATCTCGGGTTAATATTGCCAACCCGTGTGGTATGTATAACCCTTTCTGCAGTTGTAAATATGCACAAGTGCTAATAATTTTGCATAAGCATGCTCTTCAAACGTAATATTTAATTTTTATTTTTCAACATTTACATATTTGTGGGAATTGCAACCATTTATTTACTCGAATAAATTGTCACAAGTATATATAGGTGGATATGATATGAATAATATTGGTGAATGAAAAGAAAAGGGTATAAGTAAATATGAATTTTAGAAATAAAAATAAAAATTCAACTATCGGGAGATGGAATCAACCTCAAAAAACACGTATTTATGGCCTTGCATCGATCTTGGAGTAAAAGGCATCATAAACGAAGTAAAACGAAAAGCCATACAGAAATCTAATAAAAAATGTATAAATTATATATATTTAATGGTGAAATAAAAGTATGTCTGATGTTAAAGCGGCATTTATTCGACAGGACTTACACTCTGGTCGTCAGATTAGTTACGAGTTGACCTTAATCTCCAGGGCTCATTAAAACATTAGCATTAAATGAATAAAAGGGGAAACGTAATTCATAATCTATAAAGATATTGAAAAATGCGATATTTAAAATTAGGATTCATGCAACATTTACATATGTATGTACGTGAATATTACCATTCACGATCGTATTCATTTTAAAATTAATCCACTTCTGATGGAAGGAAGTTATGTACGGGTTGAGGACTGCAACGGAAAGCAAGGTGGTATTACTCCCACCGACAACCACATGCCACGGCCCCGGAATATTTGTGCGGTTATCGCTAGCCACATTTGAATTTACCGTTTTTCACTATGTGGCCCTATCTTCGGGCGTTTTCATTGTAGGTCTCCTTTTCGCCGGAATGATCCACTTGTGGCTGGAATCAACCCAGCTGTTTGACGATACCCGCGTGGAATCCAAAATTTTAAAATATCGAGAACTCCAAGTCTTTGAAAAATTATTGAACGCGTTCACCGCGGCGCGCATTTTCCCAGTGCTCGTCTCAACTCTCCCCGCGATGGAAATTCTTGGTGTGTTTGCATTGGTTCGTCTTCACGGTGGAATGGACACCTTACAGTTGGCTTTCATCGCAGCGGAAACTTTGATAGTGACGGGATTTACTTTGGTCTTCTTTTCCGGCCCGGGAAAAATCTACTCGGGCAGCGTGAAATGGTTGCGGGATTGCAAGGCGGGGGAAAATAGGGGCGTAAATAGAAAAGTGCTGGCATCCTGGACACCATTGAAGATAAGATTTAGTAAAAATTTTGTCGATGAGCTGACTCCACTAATCTTACAACAGTTTTGTACCATTCAAATGGTGAATTTACTTTTAGTGTTTTGAATTTCGGATATGTTGTCACCCTGTTTGTGAGATATGATATGGCATCAATGATAAAGTAATAAAAATTTTCGAATAAATGCGGTGAAATAATGGGAATTTCAATTATTTAATTTTTATGCGTGTAGACTGAAATTTTAAAATATGAAAAGAAAAAATTAACCCATCCTTTGTATGTTTGAATGTTTGCAATTTATTTGCAAACTGTCTTGAATTTGATCTAAGAAAGACCAGCAGTTTCGCAAAACTTTGCAAGTTATGTATGTTGAAATGTTTAGTTTAATAAATTTGTAAAGTTTACGTTCGCACGGGGACTGTTTTTCAGCATAAATTTTGCAAAATCTTGACAAATTTGCAAGTCAAATATGCTGGTGTGCTCAAGTTTCGAGATTAAATATATACAAATGTATGTATGAACATACCTGCTTACATGTTGGGAAGTTTGTCATGCCCAATATTTGCACACATTCACTGGCGATGTATTTTACATAATGTAAATAACGTTGAACTGATTATCAATTGGTTGAACATTCAACACTCATTTTGCAAAACGATTGGCAAAAGTCTGACACTCAAGAGCTTATGCCTCATTCAAGCGAAAACATAAGCCTAGATAAATATATGTACATATGTACATCCATAAGTATCTACATAGTATGTACATAGATATTTATATGTGTATGATACACAAAAATCCGCACCCATCGAATCCCATAATCAAACACGATTATGAAAAAGTGATTCACTTCATCTCCGATCGTCCAAATACATACATACATACATTCGTCAATGTTTTTCACTGAAATCTGAAGATTCATTTGTAAATCATACTTCGTAAGTGTATATCTCTAGTAAATTTTGTCCAACGATATGTATTAATATAAATAGATACAACGACGTTCTCCTTTGTTGAATGAGCATGTAAACCACCTGATGTTTTGATTTTGTTCAACAGAAAACATTGTGACGTCATTACCCATCCCCCATCAGCACGCACGTATTGCTGATGGGTGCATGGGTGATGACGGGGGGAATCCATCATAGCTTGGCTGCTATGATGAAGTAGAGTGGACGTCGTGCACGCGCCGTAGTGACCAAGGCGACAACCAAACCTGATTCCCACTGATTCACCCCTTGCATGAAAGATGGCAGTGTATCAGTATATTTGAGACACTTTGCCCATTCAAATGGACTCGGTGGGCTTTGATTTTGTCATTATACGAAACTAATATAATCTATATTTTAGTCTGCAAGAAAATCATGGCCGCCCTGCGACGTTTGAGAAAGGTAAAATTTAAAACTGTTTTGAATTTATAATATAAAAAAACGTTTCTGTTTGATCATTTTTTAACTAATTTACCTAGGAATATGGAGATATTTGTGAAAATCCAAGTGAACGATTTACCCTGAATGCCTGGTCCGATTCTAACCCAGGTACATTTTACTTCTGTAACATTATCAAATTGATAGTTATGTAGCTAGATATGCAAATTCGTGCAACATTTCAAATATTTATTGATTAAGAATTTAATTCCCAGATGCGGACGAAATCGAATGGCTTGTCAGCATGGTCGGCCCGGTAATTATACATAAGTTAGTATTCGACATGCCTAATCACATAATTAGGCAATTACACATAATTATGTAAGTTAGGATACCGTACAAAATTCCCGCCTTACTTCTAAGAAAATTTCTAAACGACTCACTAGTACAAATCTTAGAAAACATGACTACAAGAAGCTACCAAACTGTACAAATTTGAACGTTAAAAAAGAAACCCATTTTCGATTAATTTCACGAACTTATATGTAACCCTACAGAAAAATACGCCTTATGAAGGAGGAATTTTTAAGATCAAAATTCGAATTCCAACCAAATATCCCTTTGAAGCTCCTTGTGTATCCTTCACCACAAAAATATTTCACCCCATTGCTGCCAGCAGTGGTGATCTGTGTACATTCTGTCCCAATAAAAACTGGAGACCGAGCAACAAGATTCGAAATGGTTCGGCGATATTTTCAATTTTCTAAATAAATAAGAATTCCAATGCGCATTTGTTTAATAAATAATTTTTTGTAGTCATTGATGAAGTGTACGATGCACTAGCGACATATACCGATGAACAGACAAATATTTGTCAACTAAATTTTGAAGTTTACACACAGTTAAGGAATGACAAAGTCAAGTTTGATGAAATCGCGAGGGAATGGACACTGAAATATGCAACCGAACAGGAATAATCTAAATTTATTTATAGCTGCATAAATATGTATATGCTTCTGTTCAAAAATATATATACGGTAATAATATTAAATAAACTTCTTTATTACGCTGTGTCGTATCAAAATACTATCGACTTATATACTCCGATCTTTGATGAGAATGTCAGCATTTTTAAAGGGGAGGCGGCAGTGGCGTAGCCAAGGGGAGGGCTAGGCGGGCTTGTGCTCCCCCTACTGCCCAATGAATATTCTAAATATTTACATATTCCCAAACATAATTTAAAAAACTTTAAACGTATATTTAGGATTTGCTAATTAAACAAGTAAGAAATTAAGGATACAAAAAATCAATTTTTCTAAACAGTACGATATTAAAAATGACGTTTGGCAATTTTTCAGCATCATTTCCACGAGACGAACAAATGTGAGATTTGCTAAATAAAAAAAAACACTTCGATTCACACAAAGTTACGTTTTAAAGGGAACCTAAATTTTTTCTTCTTCGGGTTTAGAATTTGGACTCTAGGAATGAAAAATGAATAAAAAATGAAATGAAATTGTTTTTTTGCAAATGCTAACAAATGCATGAGTTCCTAATCCTAAGTTGAGCCCCCTTAACCCTTAAGCCTAGCTACGCCGCTGGGAGGCGGAACTCGCACGTTGTCACATCCATATTTCCTCCTTTCTATCAACCGACATAAATATTTGTATATAAATTGGATCTCATGTGCTTCTATAATAATTTTGTATATTCATATTTTGTATATAACAGAGATTCGTGAGTAACGCATTTTTAAATTGGATTAAGGATTAAGGATTAGTTGTGCTCCATTAGTGGATTAATAGTGGGATTAATGATTAATCGGGATGGCATGATTAGATTAATCCGTGATTAATGAACTAAATCAATATGCTTGGATTAAGGATTAACTAATCATGATTAACTTGTGATTAAGGATTAATGCAAAAATTAATTTTGCATTATTTAGAATGTGTTTTGCATTTTATTATTCCAAGAGCGAAAACATTTAAAAATATGAATCAATTTTCTTTTCGGTCATGTTTTAACGTGATTAATATTTCAAACATTCTGTCGACCAGTGTATTAATACCCTACCTTCAAATTGGTTACAAAATTGAATTTTGGGCGTAGAGTTAAACTAATTGGTGCGTGCTTTGGTGCATACTGCCTTCGCCTTCACGCAACCATTCGACTTATCGATATATTGCACCTTAAATAATTTACCGTTTAAAATATATGTATGGCAGGTCATTCTTGCTAGAATTAATAAAGGACTTTAAAAGTATCTGCCCATTTGAGACGACTTTGGACAACGTTTAGAAATAAAATTTTAACAAATGTCAGCGTCAAAAATCTAACAAGAGTCGATTGATTTAGTTTACGGTATTGAAAATTGTGAGTTAGACCGAATTGTAACAAAGCGATGCGCATCAATTAATCCTAATCATGATTAGCGGGATTAATAAGATTCTCCAACCATGGATTAAGGATTATGGATTAATTATGTCAAAAAAAATTCGGGATTAGTGATTATGGATTAATTTGTCCAAAAAATTTTCTTCGGGATTAAGCATTAAGGACTATTAATCCATAATCCAATTCTGTGATTATTAACAGAGCTGGGTTAATCCCGATTAAGGATTAAGGGATTATTAATCGGATTAAGGATTAATTAATCCTTAATCCATAATCCAAAATTTTATTCCCTAAATTTTAATCCTTAATCCTTAATCCACGATATGCGCACTGAAAAACTTAATCCTTAATCATTAATCCTCAAATATAATTAATCCATTAATCCAAGGTGGATTAATTTCGGGATTAATTTTTCGCCAATTTGTATTTAAAAGTTCTGTCAAAACTCTCGCAAATTAACAAAAAATTCAGGTTCGCAGTTCTCGTTCACATGTTGAATTATTTCATTCCTATAGTATTAGTGTTTTTGATATTAGAAATGTTTAAAAACTATACGGTTTAAAAACTGCACTGTGCATCAATCTACATGTCTCTCCATGGTTAATACTCACCTAAGTCAACTCAAATACCATATATCTCAAATGAAATATTTTTAAAGACAATGCTTGACATAGTTTCTGAGAATCTTTCTATAATGTGAAATTATGTAGATAGGAAATACCCTTTACTATATGCATACTCTAATTCTATGACCCTTAACTAAAGGGAAAATAAAAATTGTAAATGACCGATTATTAGTAGCTTTGTTTTCTCTTGAAAACTTTTAATGTTTGTAAAAATAAAGTTGTGTTTTGATTACCGTTGAAATTTAAAATAATCCTTAATCACGGCTTAATCAGGATTAAGTTAATCCTTAATCCTTAATCCAGGGAAAAGAAATTCAAATTTAATCCCCAACGAATTAATCCACGATAGTGGATTAATTCCAATTCTTAATCCTTAATCCCAGATTTTATAAAGTAATCCTTAATCCTTAATCCCGATGAAAAATCGATTAATCACCCAGCTCTGATTATTAATCACGGTTATTTAATCACGAATCTCTGGTATTTAATAATATGCATTTGAGGGAATCTTGACCATTTGTTTTAGAAATGCCACGTGGCAACATGAGGTGTCCCATGAACTGAAACAACCCTTTGAATCCCATGTCATGGAAAAATGGTTGAAACGTGGTCACCCCTCATGGCATATGTAACACCAAGTTGAAAATCAACGGAAAGCTTTTCTGTGGTTTTTAAAAAAAATAGGAATGCTAAGTACATATATGTATACATAAGCTACAGGGAACCTCGGTTGGGTTGAGGTCAAAATTCTCTGAAAATGTAGCTCGTACTTTCCACCATATCGTCGCTGTAATTGCAAAACATGGTAACTCAAAATGCAGTAAGTTGCAAACATATTCTGGGGTATTCTGAGAATCTATTCGAGCCAAACTTGAAAAAAGGCAGCATCTGGTTCCCAGTCCAAATGATTCTCTGAGCTACTTATTTCCTTCGTTAATTAAATTAACATCCATTGTTTGAAGTCATTCATATTTCTATTAAATATTTGCATATTAAATATAGTTTAGTTTACTTTTCTTTAGACATGGAAGCCGCCAGCAATCATTCCGGTGTCGAAAACGATGGCACCTCTGTATCGAAGGCCTTGAAGAATCCGCTCGTGAGTCATTAATTATTTTTAATTGGTTATCTTAAAATTTTGTTGATGCATTAATCCGTACAATTTTACCAGATTCTCAACCACATCTTCGCCCCGCTTAACGTCCCTGACTTGAAGACGGTTCATCTCGTGTGTCCTGACTGGCACGACGTGGCCACCAATTTATTAGGACAACGATCCTGCCTCAACTTCAACAAGCTGTTTCGCCACGATGGGTCAAAACTGGTCTTGGTCGCTCCCGAGGAAAACCTCGTACAAAATGTCACCATCCGGAAGGCCTTTCACCGCTCCGTTCCCTTAAAAAATATCCCTGGCGTCATCACTGAAGGATTAATACTGCTAAAATCGACCAAAATCCGACACATTTCCCTCACCAACTGGAAATATTCGTATCTCGGGTGTAGGGAAAATCCGGTCCAGGTGTGCCTCCCAGTAACAAATCTGTCCATCCCGATCCTCCCGAACTTGACCTCGGTAAAGTTTGACCTTCGGGGAAATGTTAAGCGGCCCGCGTTTCAACCCCTGGCTCAAGCCTTGCTCAAATCTGCCCCCAATTTGACCACTTTGAACCTCGCGGCCCCTTTCTATCTGGATTTGGAGGGTTGTAGACACCTGACCGTTTTCAAATTCGCCTACATACCGATGGCTAAAGAGACTTTGGCGAAATTTGACTTGGCCGCTGTGACCACCTTGTTGGCCCAGGTGAAGGATTCCGCCGTCGAGATGGAATTGCGGTGCCTCGGGAATGGTGATATATATAAGGAAATTCCTCCGGTAAAAATATTCAACTACTAAAAAAATTATAATGTTGAGTTAAATATATTAAATAATTAATTGTTACCGACTTCCTCCCAGACCCCGGTGGACCTTCCCGTAATGTCGAAATTGGTCTCTCTCACCGTCAAAGTGTCGGATTTATACCAAATTCAAGATTTTTTTGACCCCGAGCACCTCCCAAGGTTGAAAAGTCTTCACATTATCATGGAATCCCATTGGCTATTGGCCTTCCCAACGTTCCTGAATGGGTGGAAGGCACACCCAGGCGTGCAATCTCTCGGGGTGGAGGTGGATCCGTCTTGGGCGATGGGAGATGTTGCGGGCCCCCTGACGAAATTATTTCCCGCCGTTAAGCGATTCAAGTTCAACATATCGGTCATAATAACTCGCAACATGGACAGGCTGATAGCACCGTTTCAAGCGTGGGATCTGGAGGGGGCCGATGTTGTCGTGAAATGTGTCAAAGAAGCCACACTTTTAGTACAAGTTCTTACCAATATGGCGACTTGGAAAGGTGAGTGAATACTTAATTATTTGATGATGTATAATTTAAATATGGGAGGATTCTATTTAAGCAGTTTAATTAAATAAATTAAATGTAGTTAAATTCTAATTAAATATTTAGGCGTTAAACCTGTCCACTTTGGAGAAACGTACATTCAAGAGGACAACTTTTCTCGCTGCGTGCCAGATATAATTAAGCTCAGTGGAGGAGTTGAACGTGTGAAAATTTCGGGCTATGAGGTATGCTACTTATGCTGTTATACATAATTAAACAGTTGCACTAATTTTTCTTATGCGTGTACAATTTTATGATAAATAATTCAGGTTCCGGAAATGGTTGCAGTGATTCGACCCATGTTTGAGGGCAGTGGGGCACCCATTACTTTCACGGGAGGGGTGTATCAAATTGACGTAATTAACTGTTTCTAAGTTTAGGCATTTTTTAACATTTCCATTTTCCAACGGTTCTAAATAATTTTGAAGGAGAGGTGACCCATGTCGATTTTGAACTTTGGCATTAGTATAAAATATTATTAATATGAAATAGTATTATTGTCAAAATAAATATGGGTTTTGACTGAATTATTAATCAAGATAAAGTCCTAAACCGGCATGCAGTGATTTTGTCAATATAATTTTTCTTAACGGAGGGTATTAATCAGGGTTGCAAGTGGTATAAACCATTTTCCCCAGGACAGTGGGAAAAAATGGGAAAAATGCAATTTTTCCCACCCACCAAAATTAGTGGACAGTGGGAAACAAGTATGGCGGCAAAACCGCAGAAAAATTCTATTTTTTCAGTTGGTATGGGTGTTCAGGTGATTAGAACTTCGTACCCCCTAGTTTCAAAATTCTTAATTTTCTAACAAAACTCATAACTTTTCTTCGAAGGCCAATATCAAAGAATGGTTCCTGAGAGGAATCACCTCAAGACCTTCACGAACTCGGTTGAGAAGAGATCTAGTCAAAAGGTTGACCCCCCGAGGCTGTACCCTTGACTACGTAACATGACCCAACATCGGCGTTTTTAAATTTTCCCGCTCTGGGGCAACGGCATTTCAAAAAAAAATTTCAAATATTTGTTGTAGCCAAACTATCACCGGACATGACCCCAGTGACCGTTTACCCCGTTCATGCACCTAGATCATTCACCTTTACATTTAGTGTTTTCGCGACCGGAAGCATTACAACCTTGAAATTTGGAAAACAATGTAAAATTTCGAAAAACGGTGTGCGTGCCCTATCCCTACTTTTCGAAGATGGTCACAATGCCCTTTACTACATCCATCTATCTTAAAAAGCGCCGCGACACGGGCTGTGTCATTTAACATTGAGGGTGGGCAATAACATACCATATATTCACACATACATCCATGCGCCATGGAAATACATGGGAAAAAATAGAAAAATGGGAAATTTGTTAGTTTATATGTGAATAATGCTAGGTGGCGCTAATTTTTCCCAATTTTTCCCATTTTACCCACTTTTTCCCATTTCCCAGTGGGAAAAAATATATCTTAGACGGGAAATATGCAACCCTGGAAATAATCCTGGCAGAGCGTCCGCAACCATTGTCCAGGATGGACTTATGTACCTCCACCCCGAGAGATGGTGTCCCATCCATTCATTCACACAGGTGTAGAACGCCCAAGCCAATTGAGATACATGTCAATCTCCAAAACTCTAACCCTGCCTTGTAAGGCATGCTTCACTGTATGATCTCGATTTGAATTACATTTCACCCGCTTTTCACTGTTAATCAAATGCTGATGACATTTTGGCGGAAGAAATTTCAGCTCAGTTATCAGTTAATTATTGCTTAATTTTAGTTTTATGTATGTAGCTTATTGGTGCTATAGTTTTTAAACCAGTTTTATGTAAACTCATATCTATCAACACTTGAATAACGGTCAAAATGAGAAATGAAACTGAAGTGAAATCGTTTTTAACAAAAAATTTATCCGAAATATGTGCAGATGATGAACCATCTTGGAAATTTGTCATGTCCGTGGATCTAATTCAACTGGGAATTTCTCAAGTCAAGTCAAGTAGTCCTTTATTCAAGGGTCAACAGACATCAATTCATTACAAATTGGTTTACAATCCATGACACAAGAAGCATAACATATGTATTTGCTATTCTTATAATAAGCATAAATATGTAGTTGTTCAAGATCATAAAGAGAAACATGTTCCGATAACCTTTCCAGTTCGTAACCAGGCAGGCAATTATGGGGATACAAAAATTTCTCGTTATTTAAAGAAGTATAATTTTGAATAAGCACATTGTACAATTTGAGAGCACTGACAGTCATACGAATGTTATAAAAAATAGTTAGTAAAATAAATAAACAATAGCATACATAATTCACAAATACTGCTACAATGAAGAACAATCAAATATTTGTCATAAAGCAGCATAAATTCATATTCATATTTCTAAAGTATGAATTCAACTACAGTGGCGGACAAAGGCTTTACAAGCGACGAATTCCCTAGCACAGAAGTAACACTTGAACCTGAGTCTTTTGATATTGTGTCGTCTCACGTGCTGCGCCAAATAATATTTCGAGTGACTCTTGTACTCACATTTGTCGCAGGAATGAATCAGATTTTTGCTCGTTGGGTGTTCCGCCTCCACGTGACGTTTCAAATGGTAAGGCGCCCCGAATCTTTTGTGACACAGTGTGCATGCGTGATTCCTCTCATTGTCGTGACTAAATTGGATGTGAAATTTTAAGCTAGATCTAGTTAAGAAGGTCATTGGACAAATTTGACACTGGAACATCGCGCGATTAGATTTTTCCAGGTGTGTCTTCTGTAAAATAAATATGAATTTTATTATTTTTTCGTAATGTTTCCCCATAAATAAGTAGGTACTCTATAATTATTGTTGCGTGTCACCTCATTTGCATAAATCTCACAATGCCCGTTTCGGCGATACAGGGTTTCAATGTTAAGTAAACTCTATGTCTCTCCCGAATGCGTCAAAATATGCAAATGAGGTGACACGCCGCAATAATTCTACTATATGTATTTACCTCGTGTCTTCTCAAGTTGAACGATGTGCCAAAACTCTTCCCACACGTGGCACACTTGTGCGTCTTCTCAGTCGTGTGGGTGGCAATGTGCCCACTGAGGTATTCCGTTTTCTTAAATTGTTTCCCGCAAAGGGTACACGTGAGTCGGACCGGATTCTCGACATGCTCAGTTTTCACATGGGTCAAAACACCGCCCTTGTCGAGGTATGTTTTCTCACATCCGGGAAATGTACATGGGGGTCTAGGTCGTACTTTGGTACTGTGAACGGTGTCAATGTGTATGCGTAAGTAAGTAGGTGAGGAAAACATCCGGTGACAGATGTCACAAATTGGCCTTTGCTGATTGGCATGTAATCTTTTTATGTGGCAGGATAAGGTGAGCGGGTTTTTCAAAATTTTCCCGCACTTCTGTACATAAATAGGTGCGAATGTACATACACACAGAGAGGGATAATCGTAAAATTTAGCAAACAAACCAGATCAAAATGCAAAAGTGAAATAAGTAATAGTAGTAATAGTATTGTAGACTTTTCTGATGGCTCACCTCACATTTCACTTTCGCATCGGGGTCATGCGTGACTATGTGTCGGTCAAAGTGTGATTGATGTTTGAACATCTTGGAGCACTTGGGACATTCCAACTTTCTCTTGGGATTAGCATCCATCCTGTTTCGCTAATAATGTTGAAGGATCCGGTTGAAATTGGTGGATACAGGTCTATCTACCTAACTACCAACTAAAAAGCAGTCGTATCTGGCGAAATAATTTCACCTTTTGTGGTATGAGTTTGTAGAGGAACGGTTTGTATTCACACAAAATTTGGAAAATCAAGTATGTATTTAGTAATTAATTATTTTAAAATAATCTTTCCATGAAATTGGTGTTTTGTTATTTTTTGGATGATGCTTGCTGCAAGTAACGTGGTAAATAACATTCTAATTTCTTTTGGGTATGTAAGTAGGTCCTCTGTTTGGGATTGTTTGAGTATTCTTGACGTCTTGAGAGGTAGTGAATGGTCAAAGGAAGGCATGATTACCTGGGGTGTAAAAATGTTGCATTTTTCAACCTCCGCCACGAGGAAGGCAAGTGGTCAAAAATATTAAGGTAAGAGTTCCCATCCTCGCCCCCGCCTTCAGGGCCAAACAGAATTAACATTTTTGGTTTAACGAGAATTTTGACTTCTACATGTGCATGTGGGAAGCATAAAATACCTTTTGTAATATATCCACATAATTTTTTAAGCCTTGGCTCGAAAACGTTTTCTAATTAAATATGCATCCGTCCGTTCACTAGGGGTTAGAGCTAGATATATTTCTGTGAGAAATGGCTAATAAATACATATGTTAGTAACGTATCTGACGGTCTCCACGTCAAGTTCGGACACTTTGGCACGACATTTTTTTTTTGCAAAGATATTCTCAGGGCTGATAGAGGTGGTGACCCTGAGTTCAGAAATGCCGAGTTTATGGGGGTGTGACCATTGGGGGCGTGGCAATCCAAGAAATACGTTTTTTAAAAAGGTACACGGATTGTGGAGCCCCCAATGATTGCAAATTTACCAAATTTCCCATAAACTCATCACAATGGTTCCATCTCTTGGCAGGTTTTTCCGATTTTTGAAATTTTGAAAAATGGCGGATTTATGGCGGTTTGAGTATAAAAATATCTAGTTTTTCTCGAATTACCCTATTGGCATGCGTCATAGAGCAAAACCCCCCATATATCTTTTGTTCCTGTGCATGCAAGGAACAAAAATCCATCAACTCCGGGTGGGGTTGTCATATGCATAGGCACACCCCCCAGATACAAGTGCACGGATTGTGGCGCCCACAGTGATTGAAATTTAACCAAAATTTACAGCAACTAACACAGGCATGGTAGGGTTTGGTATGATTTTTTAGAGTTTGAAATTTTGAAAAATGGCGGGATTATAGGGATTTAGAAGCATAATCCACTTTTTTTTAAATAGCCCCATTGGTATCAGTCATAGAGCAAAACCCCCAATTAATTTTTTGTTCCGGACGATATAAGGAACAATATCCACCAACATCAAGTGGGGTCGCCCACATCACGTCGTATATAAAAGGTGTATAAGTATGGTCACACCCCCATATGTTATATATACGATATGATTTGGGCAACCCCACTTGAAGTTGATGGATATTGTTCCTTATATCGTCCGGAACAAAAACTTAATTGGGGGTTTTGCTCTATGGCTCATACCAATGGGGCTATTTGAGGAAAAGTGGATTATGCTTCTAAACCCCCATAATCCCGCCATTTTTCAAAATTTCAAACTCTAAAAAATCATACCAAACCCTACCATGCCTGTGTTAGTTGCTGCAAATTTTGGTGAAATTTCAATCACTGGGGGCGCCACAATCCGTGTGCTTGTATCTGGGGGGTGTGCCTATGCTTATGACAACCCCACCCGGAGTTGATGGATTTTTGTTCCTTGCATGGTCTGG